CTGACTGATAAATTCATCAATCCTCAGTTTTTCCTACCTGTAAAACAAAGTTAGTAAAGATTACCTATCTCCAACAAGTAGCATGAGAAAGAAATAATAGCAATCTCCAATAGTTTATATAAGAATTAATACATTAAAAAAATCCTGGCCCCTGCCTTGTCTTCCAGCCTTATTCCTCACCCCTTTGTCTCAAGAAACACCTAGCACTACAGAATTTCCAAGTCTTCCTTGATTCCCACATAAATCCTGAAGTGATGCATTTTATTTTATTATAGTTACTTTACTCTGCACATCTTCTCTGCTAAAGCTATGGAGATTTACAAAACATTCTTGCAGCTGACATGACATAGGTGCTCGTGTGTGTGTGTGTGTGTGTGTGTGTGTGTGTGTGTGTGTGTACATATGTATGGAAGAAAGGAAAAGGGCAGTGGGTGGGGGAAAGGAACTGAGAGGGTATGCATAGTAAGATACCTAACATTCCAGGGATCCTGTGAAATGTGAGCTAAGTGTAAAGGCACAGATAGCAGGCAGCCAGGAGGCAGAGATCAAACATCTATGTAGAAAACAATTCCAGGCTGTTCACCAGGAGACTATAAAGTGAGACTGAGCTATGTCTCCAGCCCTGCTTTCTAGTCATGCCCTTCTGACATGGCAAGTGGCTCCACCACCTGTCACTCATGGTAGGAAAAGCCAATGGTGGCATCGAGTTGGAAAAGAACCGAGAGAGGTGTGGCTGGGTGAGTCTAACAATGCTGGTGAAACTCAAAAGCCTTCAGTGCCTCAAGAAAATCCCACATCAAGCTGGATTTTGGGCTTTGCTGTTTGTATAATCCGTCACCTAATCTGCCCTCATCTTGGTGCTGCCCTGCATGTTAGTCCCGGGGAGCCGAATGTCCAGGCTGAGCATCTCATAGGAGAGAGGCTGGTTCCTTTCCCTACCCTGAAAAGCTGGTAAGGACCAGCGGGACAAGGCTCATGTTCCTGTTGTGAAATGGAATGTACAAACATGGGATGTGATTCATGTCTGCAGACACATAGTATTCCCGACAGCTGATCAGGAAATGCCATTTTGTGTCTGGTAAAGCCTCTTCAAAAGTTTCATGGAGACTTGATTGGAGCAAATGCTTTCAAGTTTGCTTATTATCTCTTCAAGGACTCAGGCCATACTCCCACTATGTTCTGAGAAAATGTTTCATGTCCCCCTGCTGTCTCTCTGTATCTGTCTCTCTCTCTCTCTCTTTTTCTTTACACATACACATACACACGCACACATGCACGTGCACAAGAACATACACACACAGACACACACACAAACACACACACACACAAACAGAGAAGGAAGGAGAGAGAGAGAGAGATAAATTGTTTGGAAAAAAAACATTCACACAGCATGAGGCAGGCTTTTGCCTGGAGTATGCTGTTTATTGCCACTGCAGAATGAGTTTCTCTTAATTTATAGGCAGTAAAGATAATTCAAAAGATTTAAAAGAACAAATAAATTCAACTCTCAATTTGTGCTCAATAAATAGGAGAAGGCCAGGGAGGAGGGCAGACATCTACAAATTAAACAGATTTACAGCTTGACTGTGGCCTCCCCCAAAGGAAATGGAATCCCCGCTCATCAGAGAGGGATCTTATTTATTTCATTGTGTGTGTGTGCTTATTTGCTTTCCAGGGAAGCACCTAGGTTTTCAGATGGTGTAGATGTCAGAGAGTCACTAGATCTTCATAGGAAACTTAACAACACTCAGCGATCACTGGCAACTGGAAGTTTATTGGGAACCATTCCTTAGACATTTTAACAGAAATTAAAGTGTGTTCTTTAATGAAAACATGCCATTTCATTGCCTAGAGAACCCATGAGGATAAACACTTCTCAGGGTCAAAGCAGAGCAAGGCTTCTGCTCGATGACTAAATAGTGGCTGACTGGTTGATTAATACTGACGTACTTTAAATTCCTCATGATTTAACACGGTGATAAATCGAACTTGTTTAGACTTCTTCAGTCTACCGATTTTGAGGCATTCCTCACACAGATGTAAGGAGCCTCCCTCTACCCTCCCTGACTTCTCTACCCATGAACCCGGAAGTCACACACAGCTAAGGGGCAGCAGAAGTGGTATCTAAGGTTTGTCTGATAGGTCAGGAAGGAGTTCTAGAAGCTTTTTGTAAAGGTAGGCATCCCGCTCCTCTGGAGGAAACAAGCATACAAAGTTTGTTTCTCTAATCAGAAGAGTCATGGTCATTTCATTTTGGAGATGCCTCTATGTAAATCAGGAAAACCAGTGCACAGACAGCTCTTACATCTGCCATCCCTGCTTCCATTACCCAGCAGGACCATGGCAATGACGAGTGGAGTACCCTTGTGGTTTTCTTCTGTAACTTACTGCTTGTTCCTCAGCATTAGTGTGTCTTGCTAGCCATCTTCCCTTCCTACTAAGGCAGAACTTGTCTCATGCTCCCATTTGATTCCATGTCTCCATAGCCACCATGAACCTTTTGGCTGTCACACCGACTCTCATCCTTTTGTGGCTTTTTTTTTTAAGATTTATTTTATTTATTATGAATACAACATCCTGCTTCCATGTGTGTCTGCACGCCAGAAGAGGGCACCAGATCTCATTATGGATGGTTGTGAGCCACCATGTGGTTACTTGGAATTGAACTCAGGACCTCTGGAAGAGCAGTCAGTGCTCTTAACCTCTGAGCCATCTCTCCAGCCCCTTTTGTGGCTTTTATGGAGTCCTTACGCTTGCTCTGTCCTCTCTGCACTACCTGCTGGTACACCCTTCTGTAGTAAGCTCATGTTTCTCTTACACTGGCTGGGCTTGCTTCTGTCTTCCTTCTCTATTCATATACCCTAGTGTCCCACCGACATTCCTGCCTTGTCCAAGCTTATTCTCACTGAAAACCAGCTTCTCATTAAGCCTCTTCTTGCATCTTTTCAGTCTTCCTGTTTTTCTAAGTTCCCCCAACACGGTGAACCATGTCACTCAATTTAGCAACTGACTCAATACAGTTGTGAATCGTGTCAGACTGGTCCATTTGTATGATTCATGTCTTCCACTGTAAGATAAGCCTTCTGAAGACAGAATGCTTATTTTTGGCTTCCATGTATTTTCCGACTAGAGAAAACCTTTAGGAGAAAATATGATTCAAGTAGGATCTGTGACATGGTTGTGAGGTGCAACGGCCTTAGGGGCCAGACCAGCCCCTCATAGAGTTGTGATGACTAAGTCAGTTACTTTATGAAACTCTCCAAATAATGCAAGCACATAGTAAGCCTCGGGCTATCTACCTACTCACAGTGCAGGAAAACCCTTGGAGTCTCTTACCTTTCTTGCCTGCAAAATGGAGAAAGTAATGCTTGATAGAGTGTCTATAAAGAGTAAATGTCAAAAAAAATGTAAAGCCTCTTTCTTACATACTGTTTACTAATGACTAGATCCAATAGGTTGTAACAATGTTTCTTATTAATGAACACTGGGAAAAGAAAGAGGCAGGATTCAGTTATGTAAACGATTTGTACTCACCAAAAGAGCCTGTGAGCCTAGGGAGACAGGAAGAACAGACTTACCATCTGCCCAGCTTGCATGGTGTAGTGCGGAGCTATCTGGAGGAGGTTTAATTTATAAGAAGAAAGCCTGTCTAAATGGAAGCACTGTATATGTCAGGGCCCATAGAATGGCTCTGCTTCATCTTGACTTAAGGTCAGAGAGTTCAAACCCACTATTGCTCTTTCAGGGTTAAACAACAAAATGTTTGGCCCATGGTGGGGTGGGGGGGAGCTAAACTAATGGATGCCTTACCTTGACAAGGGAATATTTGGCCTAAGAAGTAACTAATGAATGTCTTACTTTAACAACAGGATATTTAGCCTAAGGTATGGCTATTGTGTGTCTTGCCTTGACAACAGGATATTTGGTTTAGGGTGTAGTTACTTGATGTTTTGGGTATAGAGAAGATAATTATGCTTGCTTGTTCTTTGTATTTTGGTGTTTTCCTGTTTTTGATTGGGGTATATAAGGACTGTGTGTAATAAACTTGGGGCTTTCCCCCAGTATTCACTGGAGTGCCTTTTCTGACTCTAGCCTGTGTCTGTCTTTTCTTTAGAATCAATAATTTTTCTACCTGCTATTTCTTAATCCACATGCTTTCCTCCAAGCACAAACTGTAAGCATTTTGATGGATCGGATGTGATAGACGGGGTGGATTATGGCACTTGGAAGCCAAAGAATACTGAGTGTTACAGCCTGGTTGGAAAGGTATCCTGGAACTCGGGAGTCACAGAATACTGAGTGTTACAGCTCCAATGGAAAGGTATTCCGGCACTCAGGAGCCAAGGAATACCACAGGTCACAGAAGGGCACAGCAGCTTACAGCCCTACTTCAGGGAGAGGCTTCCCTAGTGTATCAGCTCTGCTCCAGCAAGAGAGGGAGGGTTTCCCCAGAGAAGTTGTTACAGTTTAGCTCCATTCCCCCCAGAGTTTAACAGCTTTGCTTAGCCAGGGGAGGGTTTACCCCAGTGAAAAGTGTTATAGTCCTGTTCTGCGCTCCAGCAAAAGTAGGTCCCACCCAAACCTCATTCAAGAGACTTATTGGGAGGGAAGAATCCAAGAGAGTGGCTGCCCTCTGCCAGAGTGACAGAGGACAGCCAGGTAGCGGGAACAGCCACAAGCTGAACAGACACAGGGCTTATATAGGACTTCTTTAGGGGCGGAGTTTTCCAGGGTGGGGATTGGTCAGATTTCAATCCCTGAGGTTAGGATGGCTAGATCTGCTCAGGGGTTGGTTAGTTTTCTGCACAGGTATAGTATCTGATTTGACTCTGGTTTCAGGGCCAGTGTGTTTCTTTACCTGGTCCTTTTTAGTCTTTTGGCTCCAGTTTTAGGGCCAGGATGTATTTCTTTCACTGGCTCTGATTACAGGGACAGAGTGTGTTTCTTTGGCACTGGTTTCAGGGTCAGGGTACATTTCTTTGGTTCTGGTTGCAGGGCTAAAGTGTGTTTCTTTGGCTCTGCTCCAGGTGTGTTTCTTTGGCTGGACCCTTTTCCCTACACAAACTGAACAAATAAGCCAGGCCAGACCCAGCTGTTATTGTCTCCTAGACTCAGGATACTACACATATAATGGTTCAACTCTAGATCCAACAAATACCCTATTGTAGGGGCCACTGTCACTCACGAACAGTGGTCCGGGGATGGGATTCAGGCCTCTGTCCTTCTCAGCATGATTCTCTAAGGAAAATCACACAGAAGGGACATGACAATGCTGTGGCAACCCAGATACAAAGAGTCTCAGAGAACTACAGGCGGCATATTACTAACAAACTTCCAATGCTTACCAACCGTGTTTTCACTTTGCTCTGAAAACTTCACAGATGATCACTCTGTGGATAGCCACCATTATCCAGTAGTCTCTGTTCTCCAGATCCATTCTCTGCCCTTCTGTGCTCTGCTTTGCATCATGGGTAGCTGGCTGTTATGGACGGCTGCAGCTCTCCTTCCTTACACTGAATTCCAGTAGGATTAAGCCATGGGTGAGGGAGGGCTGCTAGCAGGAAACACCAGCTTCCTAGAATAGGCAGAAGAGCATCAAGCCTGAGAGATAGCAGTAGTAGTGTTCCCCCACCCCCAGAAGACACAGATGGCTATCACTGGCATACCCACGCCTTCACAGACAAATCCATTATTATCCTCCATTGTAGGAATATCCCATGAGCCTAGCAGCAACACCAGGCTATTTTATGTCACCAGTTCTGGTGTGTGCTATTGCTCATTGGTTTCCTCTGTCCTGTCCACAGTGGTGACAGTTTCTTTACTAGAGCTTCTTCAATCTAAGGATACAACTGCATTGTGCTGGGATCCTGACTGTTGTGACATTACAGACAACAACACTGGGCCTCACTTCTGTTCACCAAGAAAGTGGAGTGGAGTTGGGTCTCAAACCAGACCTGCAAGCATCCTGGTGGTGCTGAGCTTTGCTTCTTTCTGCCAGTGCAGATTATGGGGATAATCCAGATGGGAAACAGAGAACTACGGGAAGGTAGCTATGTGCTTTCCCATCTGCCTGGCGACCTCCACGGGTAGTTGTGGTCAGTGCTCATCACTGCTGGCCCAGGCTGAGTTTGGATATAGTAACTCTGCTAATTTCTTCCTTCTGTGTAAAGGAAGTATGAACCCAGGCCAGGGAGATGCCTTACAAGGAGGGGCTCATGCTGTGCAAGCCTGATAACTTGAGTTCTAGTCAACTCCCACAGTGGAAGGAGAGAACCAACTCCTGAAAATTGTCCTCTGATCTACACACACACACACACACACACACACACACACACACACACACACACACACACACACTTTAAAAAACAAGAACTGTAGGGGCTGGAGAGCTTGCTCAGCAGTTAAGAACACTGGCTGCTCTTCTGGAGGATCCAGGTCTAATTCCAAGAACTCACATGGGAGCTCACAATCATCCTTAACCCCATGGGGTCCTTCTTCTGGTCTCCATGGGTACCAGGCACACATGCAAAACACAGGCATTCACGCAGGAAAATGCCCAGACATGTAAAATATTAATTTTTAAAATTGTAAAAAGAAGAAAATGCAAAGCCTTTCAAAAAGTGTCCCTTTGGAGTCACTTCTGCTCACCTCAGCTCAGACTCCCAGTCGGACCATAAAAGCTTGAGAGCAAGTGGAAAAAGGAAGTATGCCAGACACTTTAGGCCTATTGCACCGAGATAGGGCATGTGATCATTTCCTGTTTCTTGTGGTCTCCTTTTTCTCTTTGTAATGGTGAGGATAAACCACAAAGTTCCTCATGCACTTAGGATGTGGAGGAATGAGTTTTTCACTGGGTTTGGGCTGACTACCATTTCTCGATTGGTGGAAAAAGTGAACGAGTATATACAATTGTCCTTCACGTGCTTGCCATGTCTTTTCAGTGGCTAAGAGGCTTTTCGTGCCATCACAGTTTTCCTCCTCCAGTCTGAAAATATAGAGTTACTGGAAAAGTCACAGCGATATAAGTACCCACTGACCCTTACACAGAGATTAATACCCAATTTACAACTTTGATGTAAACAAAACCTAACCTAAAAGAACAAATCCAACACTTGACCCTAAGACTTTTATAGCTTGGAATGAGTTTTTTTTTTCATTTTCTTGTTTGAGATGGAAACGGTCCTATTATGTAACCCGAGCTTGTCTCAAATTTCCAATCCTTCTGCCTCAGCCTCCTGAGTGCTGGGATTATAGGCATACCCTACCATTCAGTTTGGTATTTGGATCCTCTCCCCTTTAGTTCATCAGAATAGTTTGTTCTTCTGGGAGAATTCTTTAATTCATATGCAGTCCCTAAGGTCTGGACTGTGCAGTCAGATAACCTGGGTTTATTCTGGTTTGGCCACTCTCTGAGCTTGGATTTTCCCGTGCGCTGATCCTGAGAAAGATCTTTGGGTACAGACAACTAATTTGGGAGGCTGTGGTAGGAAGAATCAGTAAGGAAATGGGGACATACTGTAATAGCAGTCACCAGTCAGCATGGTGTACCCTGAGACACACCCCACTGCTCAGGATCCTATTCCGCAGTATCTATGGGGAAACTATGGAACACATACATCCAAAGCTTGCCACCAAAGGAACAAGGAAGCTGCTGCTTCTCTACCAGCTTTCACTTCCTTAGGCTGAGTGCTGCTTCCTGGTGTGTGAGCACTCTAGAGTTCGAGTACTGTCTCCTTGTACACAAATGTTCTCCGATGACTCTCGCTGAGGAAAGGAAGGACTGGTGCCTGTGCGAGACCAGTGGGAGCCAAGAGGCTATGGGAAGGACTGTCACTACAGTCCACTCTTTTCCCAGTCAAATCCACTCATGCAACTCTCCTAGTACTTTCTCAACCTGCCTAGTCAGATGTTTCATAAGAAGGTATTTATAAAAGGCAGGTGCCATCTAAATGTGCCCCCTCTGTTGGGGAAGTCTTATGTCAATAAAGCACTGTCTGGCCAATAGGAATCTAGATAGGTGGGACTAGGAGTCCAGGAGGACTCTGGGAAGGAGAAACACAAGGGAATCGAGATGTAACGCCATGGGGTAGGAAGCCCAGAAACTTCTCCGGTAAGAGACATACTTAGATTAACAATTATGGGGTAATTACTTAAGTCAGAGCTAGTCAGTAAGAAACAAGCAAGGCCAACAGCTTCATAATTAATATAGCCTCCTGTGTGTTTATTTGGGACTGATGCGGCTCTAGAACCAGGCTGGCGGGAAGGCTTCTCTCAAGAAAAAGGGCTTCCCTTTACACCCCTCCGTGAAGAAAAAAGAAACAAAATCACATCTTGGAAACATTCTGTGCAGTGTAATATTATTAGGGGTGGGAGCAACATATTGTGAGACTTCTTAGCCTCATACTGTGTGAGCTGATTCTCACCATAAGTTTCCTCTTATCTATCCTCCTTCTGTCTCTGAGAACACTCATTCTTATATTGCCAAAGACAACTCTACGGATGTACTTCTCTAAAGGCAATGTTCAAAGGCTCCCATTCCAACTCTTATAGGATTGACAACACTTTTGTTTTTAAATTAGATTGAATTTTGAAGTGATATTTTTCCATTTATGAGGCATGTACCTCAGTGTCTAGGTAACAACTACTTCTAATATAAGCTTGTATGAAGCAGTATTAAAATTCCATCTATCTAGGGTTCACCACAGAAGGTCCAGTAACTTAGCTCAGTACAGAACTGGAGGAAAGACTAGGGAGAACCAGTGACTGGGTTGTAAGTGCTGGCACCCCAAGGATGAAAACCAGGAGCTCTGGTGTCCCACAAAGACAAACATGAATGATCGAGCTCAAGAAGAGAGGACAGACTGGCCCTTCCTTCACTACTGTGCTCTGTTTGGGGTTTGTATTCCAAGACAACTCCTATGCACACGGCCAAGGGCGGTCTCCTTTACTAAGCCTGCGGATTCTAGCACTATCTTCTTTTGGAAGCATCCTTGGAGAGACATGTAGAAACAGCGCTTTCCAGCTATCACCCACCCAATCAGGCTTGCATGCAGAATGAACCATCACAGATCACATTTCTTGCTGCCATTCTGGTCCTTAACCCTAGCCTTGCAGCCCTGTTGTCTTGTCTCCTTCAGTTACATATATCTGTCTTTGTCCAAATGCCCGTCTACTTGCTCTGGTACCCTACTCTGTTCTTACATACTCACCCTGTGCCTGGTATGATGTCTTGTGTCACCTCTTGTTCTCTCTGGAGACGCCAACTTTGGACTCGGATTTGATTTTGAGTATTCTAGACCCTTCATGCCCAAGTTCTTCTTTTGCCCAACAAATTCTTCTTATTTTGCCCAAACTTCAAACTAGAACAAGGATTTTTCAGTTACGTTAAAGAGCAAACAGTATAATTTAACCAGTGAATATGGACCACAGAGTAATTTCTAACAAGAAGAAGGAGAAGTTGTCAATTAAAAGAAGAGATGGATAGGGTGGTTGGTAATGTCACAAGCAGCTGTAACCACAACCACTAAGACTTGGGTCATCATTTACCATATTAACATACTACACATACCTCAGGCTAACTAAAATATATAGTCACAGTAGAAACTCACTAGCTTGAAATATTTTGTGAATCATGGAACCTTAGGATGCAATGCAGAAAGCATGGGCCTAGGCTGGTGGCACACAACAGTATTTGTTGAATTACAGGGGAGTGCTTACTTACCATTTTCAATCAAGCTTTAGGGATGATAACATTCATGATATGACTCTGAATAAAAGACGACTTCCTGGAGCTCACTTCATTATAGAATGCAGTTCCGCTGTGGGTCCCTTCCAGGTAAAAGTCTCTTCCATGAACTGGGTTGAAGTTCATTTTTGTGTTATCCATGGAATAAATGTCTCCTTCAGTCATGTGCTCAAAATGCTTCTCTGTTAGAGACTGTTTTCTTGACAATTCTGTATAAGATAATGTCTCCGGCCCTCTCCTGTAGCTTTTCTGCTCCTCACTTTTCAGTACTTCTTTCTCAAATACTATAGCACTCTTGTGGATTTATCCATTGTTTTCATCTGCCTCCTGATACAAGGATCCTAGTACACAGCTGTGTCTCCAGCCCATCACCTCAAACAACACTGGCCTTATTGGAGGGGCTCAGTGTAGAGCTGCTGACTAACACGGACTTAAACAAAGCTATAAGGAATACAAACTTGAGAAGAACGTGAACATTGTTTAAGAAAGTAAGCTTTCGCATCTCTGGGCCTTGTCTCAGAAGAGCTTATTGCTCTGAAATTAATGCAGCTAACCCTCCCCCTTCCCCCCATTTCCTTTCTCAAAACCAATTCCCCGGGGCAATGCTTTGCAAGTCTGGTCCTAATTAGTCTTCATTGTGAAGGCGATCCAAGGACATGCATTTCTAACAAGTTCTGTTTGTAAAATTCAGGTTTGTTTGTTCAGGCTGGCTTTCCCTAATTGCAGTGCTCCACACAATGACCATTGGGTAGCAGAGAATTTATTGTCATGTGTCATGCTGCTAATCCACTGGACAAGTTTGAGCCCTGGCTTTGTAGTGTTAGTTGTATGGTTTGGGACATGTAATCTAGCCTCTCCAGGCTGCCATTTCAACACCTCCAAAATATAGATAGTGATTATTCAAGGTTTTTTTGTTTGTTTGTTTGTTTTGCCTACTTCCCCTGTCATCTTTCATGCTGCCATGAAGTTGACAAAAACCCAGAACCTTGAATCCTTGGATCAGGAAACCCTGGCAGGAGGTCCAAAGGCAGGAGGAATAGGGTAGAAGTGGCTAAGCCTTATCCCCTCCTGTACTCCAAGGGTTTTATAAGGACTTCATTATTTTTGGCTACAGTGTAAGTAGCCTCTGTGTTGTGGCTAAGGATGGCACTTGCTTCTAATGACCCCATACTCCCCTCTGACCCTCTCAGACCTGAGGTGCTAAGAGTTTTCAGCTCCTACTAGTTCCAGTTCCTGTGTTCCTTGGAGACTCTTGGTCCTTTCCAAGCTTTTCAGAGCCATTGCATGAAAATCGTGACTGTCAGTCCTTGGAGCGTGGTTTTCCACCATCCACCATAGAGTTTCCCAGTGTTGTATACGCGCACATGGGAACTGAACAGATGAACACGTGTAAGTAAGTGACATTCCTAGGTGCTTCAGCCATTCTCATCTCCTGCTAATTATTACCTACATTAAGTCAATGGGGAAGAGTTGTATAAGTCATCATGTTAACATATGTGAAAATATTGTTCAGAATTGACAGGCTTTCTCTCTATGGAAAAAGATTTGCTTTAAGCTTAGGGAAACTGGCACTGTCTGACGTCTTTTCTGTAAGATCAGCTTTCCTGCCCTATCCCGTCAATACCTGAAAATGTACATGGGCTCTAAGTTCATCTCCACCTCCCCTTTCCTGTGAGCTTGTCTCCATTGAAAAGATATGGGATTATGACATGTAAGATTGTACAATGTTGCCATCCCACATCCCCCGATCTCACCTGTTCCTAGATGCACCTTCCAGACAATGCCATTTGAAGAGCCATCCACACATTAGCCATTTCTCTAGGACTGATATCTCTGGCTCTGGCGCTGGGCTAGGCTGTGTTCTAGAGTCTCATGACAGAACGCTCTGCTGAAACAACGGCTCTGTCCTCTACTGTTCTGAAATTTGCTTTCCCAGAGACCAGTAGGCTCTTTTGCTTTTTCACATGACCCTTTGCCGTGTGAAGATATGGTCTCCACCTCTGACAGTTCTTACTTTATATATATATATATTTTCATCTTTTTATTGAGCTGTACATTTTCCCCTTCTCTCCTTCCACCCTACCCCTTGACCCCATGCTCCCAATTTACTCAGGAGATCTTGTTTTTCTCCTCTTCCTAGGCAGATCCATATGTGTCTCTCCTAGGGTCCTCTTAGTTACTAAATTCTCTGGGGTTGTAGCCTACAGGCTGGGCATCCTCTGCTTTATGTCTAATACCCACTTACGAGTGAGTACATATTATACTTGTCTCTCTGCGTCTGGATGGTGCTTTTCATTGGACAGGTAGTTTTTTCTTTTATGTGTCCTCTGCTGTCCACAAGCATGGTGAGTGCTGACCACACAAGATAAAGTAACCACTGGGAAGCTTAATATTATTTATAACTGTTTGGCTGTAGACTCAGGATATTTACTAGGTAGCTCTTACATCTTCAATTAACCCATATTTCTATGAATCTGAGTATTGCCATGTGGCTGTGGTGTTACCAGTCTGTTGGCATGCTGTTCCTTGAGCAGCTGGATGGCATCTCTCATGACTTCACCTTCTGTCTCTCTATATCTCTGCTTGGATTTCCTGCCTAACTATATCCTGCCTCGCCATAGGCCAAAGCAGCTTTAGTCATCAACCAATAAAAGCAACGCAGATTTGCAGCATACAGAAGGACCTCCCACATCAAAGTAAGTAGACAGACAAGGGACAGGGGTCAGTACAGGTTTGGGAAACAAACAGATGAAATAGATGCTTGACATCCCTATGGTCACTGTGAGAATGACAGGGCACGTTGCATACTACAAGGACAGGAGCAATGCAGACGAGATGGTAGCCTCTCACACATGTTACTCAAGTGCAGAATACAAATGAAAACTCCTGAAAAGAAGTCATGTCTACGGAGATGACTGATTAGAACTGTTCTATGGAGACGCTGGAATGTTACAGGGCCAAAGGCTCATAGCCTGATCTTGGGCTACTTCTAGACCTGTAGAGGAGCCATTCCTTGCCCACCTCCATGTCAGAGTCAAAATCCTGTGACTAATAGATAAAACCTTTCAGAATCTTTTAATTTAGCAGACTGCTGGCTTTCACCAATCCTAAAGCTCAGAATGTCATCAGACAGCATCTGAGGTCTATAAAAACGCTTCCCCCATCTGACTAACCAACTCTCTGATATGCCCACCAATGTATTTTAAACTTGCCTTGATTTTATGACTTCCTTTGTTCTGTGAAACTATAACAACTTAATAAAGCTGTTTCCACATCGGAATGTGGAGTTTAGGGTAACTTAAATCTGTGTTCATGCGCCATGGCTGCAGAATAAACTCTTTCTTACTCTAACGTAAGAACTGTGGATTTTACACTGACAAGAGCCACAGCCTGTTGCATGGTGTCTGGTGGTGCTTCACAACCTGCACTGACACTGGGTTTAGTGTCCTTCAGTCAAGCATCTCAACATTTCCAGAGTTTTGACACAGAAGTCTGACATTCCAGTCTGTAGTGAGCTCCACCGGTCCAGCAGAAAGTCTTTGTTTATTTTCCAGATGGTGGATGTTACTCTGTAAACAGACCATTTCTTACTGTATCGTTCAGATTCATCATCATTATGGAAAGAAACAAGAGGCTGCAAAAAGGCAGCATGCAGTGTTACTACCCCATTATTCAGCTAACAATTATCTGGTGACGGCTCCTGTGCGTGAGGAGCTGTGCCAATAACTCTTTGAACCCAAATGTCCTGCTTTGCAGCTCCCAGATGAGCTGATCAGCATGTGACAGGATTGGCGTTGACCTTGCTGTGAACTGTTCAGTCAAATCTGTGGTATCTGAGTCTTGGGGGAAAATGAGTTTCATATTTCATCACAGAACTGTGACTTGGATTTGGACGGTGAATCACACACATTCAACTGGGTGAACAAGCAATGAAAATCCTCCAATTTGGATTTCAAAGGCAAGGAACAGCGTGCCAATTTTCATCTGACTTGAGAACAATGCTTCAGTTTCCAGCACCCCAGGTCTGTACTCTGGAAAATGCAAAGCACCCAGTTCCCTGGTCTCCTCGGGGTGGAGTTTTACACCCACGGGCGCTTTGACCATAATGTGTGGAAAGAGTAGAAACAGCACAGATCACAGATTTGGCCATTTAAGGAGAAAAAAGAGTCGGCCAAGGATGAAGGAAGGCAGGATTGCTGCCCTCATAGCCTGATTTTAGCCTAGTAAGTAGATGTCTTCCACACAGCAGCAAGAAATGCCATCAAACCATGTGTGCTTGTTTCTGGTGAGACAGGAAAGGTACCTATCCCACTGGATTCTCCCATGTTTCCCTGAAATCAATTGTGGAGCCTAGTTTCTTTGATAATGAATTTAAGATACTACTTTTTTTGTGTGACTCAATCAGGGGACTTCTCTTACACATATTAACAGATATATATACAAGAAAAGCTGATAAACACACCATTGCAAAACTAAGCTATTTCTAAGACTCACTGAAGAAAGAAAAGTAGGGCTGATATGGGGGCAGAGAAGGAGGTAACGAAGATAGTGACTGCACAAATGATTGGAAAAGTAAAGAGGCTGGTGTTTGTGTTTGTCAATTTCAGGGCCCCAGGGTTGCTTGGCCACCAGCTTTTGGTCAATACTTGACTTAGAGTTAGAGTCATTATGAGTTTAGGAAATGTGGCGATCTTTCTGAGTTCTGAGAAGCTGAGCTGAGACTGGCAGGCGTTGCCTTTCTCCTCCCCATTGCTTTTGTTTGTTTTTGAGACCCTACTCTCACTATGTAGTCCAGGCTGACCTTGAATCCACAGAGATCTGCCTGCTTCTGCCTTCTAAGCACTGGGATTAAAGGTGTGAGCCACCACACATAGCTCCCCATTCGTGTTGCTTTTAATGTTTCATAAACCAAATAAAAAAGTTTGAGGAAAGGAAATAGACACAGAATGTGCTATGTTCTACACTTCAAATCCTTTATTGTTCTGTCTACAGGGTAAGCAGAGGCTATCCCTAAGCAAATGCAAGATATTGCTTAACATTACTTTGGGGTATAGATGGTAGGAGAAAAGAAATGACCCAAGCCAGCACAAGTCATTGTGCATAGCCTTGGGAAACCTCAGAGACAGACAGGGTGGGGTGTCTCATGAACTAAAGGTCAACAGCGAGTCAAAGGCAGCCTTATCAACCAAGGCAATGACCAAGTGATGTGATGTTTATTGTCAGAATTATCTGACTTTGGTCTTGGGTTTCTATATTCTACAGTACAAGGTGGGTGTGGCTACCTATATGCTAATGCACCATGTGATAATAGGGAGTACTGTACAAATTTGTTGAGTGGGTGTTGGTGAGTGGACATGTCTATTATGATTCATTTGCCTGGTAATTTAAAATAATAATTTGTTGCTATAAGTTCATACTTGTCATAAAGACTAGAATGCTCCCCATAAAGACTAGAGTGTTCCACCCTGTGTCAGAGGCCATAGATATCAAGAAAAGCAGAGAGTTAAGTAAGAGTCCAAGTTACTATTCAGTCTTTTTGGGAGGCTGGAAAAAGAGGGACTTGCCAGTATGCTATCCTTTTCTTGTCTTCTCTCTCTCATCAACTCCTTTACCAATGATATCAGTCTTCTTCAAACTCTTTACTGTTTTCTGTCTTTCCCATTCTGATCTTCTCTCTATTTGGTATTGTTATCACAGTCTATGGAGATGCTGTTGATGGTAATGTATTTTCTGACAGATTTTATGTTTTGATAATGCTAATACTTCTGTATTTTTGAACCACCTTCCTTTGTTGATATACTGTGATATATACCTTGGTTTTTCTAATTATTTCTAAACTTCAGGGTGTGAGAGGTTTTTACTTGTAAGAATTCTGAAAGGAACTTATTTTTCTCCCACCTCAGCCATAGCAATTGTTATATTTTAAAGAATTGTAAAAGAAACAATTAGAACAATGGAATTTAAAGAGATGAAGTTGCATTGGAAAGTCTATAGGAGCTTTTATCTAGAATAGTGGTTCTCAAACTTGTGTGTAGTGACCCCCTTGGGATTGAATAACCCCTTCACAGTGGTTGCCTAAGGCCATCAGAAAACATGGATATTTACATTACAATTCATAACAGTAGAAAAATTACAGTTATGAAGTAGTTATGAAAGTAATTTTATGGGTGGGTGTCATCACAACACGAAGAACTGTTTTTTAAGGGCTGTGTCGTCCTACTAGGCCAAGAAGAAATAGGATTTTAGGTAAAAGAAATGTTGTTAAGGGAGAGTCAGAAACATGTAAAGGCAAGAAGAGAATAGAGAGCAGGCTGAAGTAGTGATGTCCCCCAAAGCTAACAGATGTAAGAGGATGAAGACAATCTATGATGCCCACTTTGGGGACAGTCTTACAGGCTACACCAAAGGTGTGTCCTTTTACATTGCCTTGCTCTAGATAATTTTGGAGAAAGTTTCCAAAGCATCACACTCCCACAAGTCAAAGAGAGTGAGGTAACCCAAAAGAACAGAGATCTGAGGCCCAGAAGGGGAGGGCTGGTATCTGATCTCTCAAGGCCTGGACCAAGGGATGAAAAGCATTCCCGGTCTTGATCGCTCCATTCGTGAGCAGCTATGTGCTTTCTCTCCTTGGCTTCTCTGCACCTGTCTCACCCTTTCCTATATACAACAGATTCTATTACGTATGTAATTACACAAAACAACCCACCCCTCAGTTCATACCGCGCCCCCCTTCTTCAGTTCAAACAACTATCAGAAGCCACCTGTGCTTTGGCTTCTATCGGCATAAAGTAACAACTCTACCTTAAAGGAATTAGCATATTCTAAGCCAAATATGAGTGAGTATATCCCAGGAATCTGGATTCAATTCACCACCAACTGCCATGTTCCACTCTGGAAGAGATGACACGAACTTTGACAAACATTGAGCTAAAGCACACTAGTGTTCATTAGCAGGGATATCACATGCATGGGCTGCAATAAACAGAGGAAATGGCTTATGTAGGAGTCACACATTCTCGGTGTTAGGATTGGTGGAGGTTAGAAACACATGAAGCTTAGTCACCCATTGCAGTTTTTATCTAGAAGTCCAGTGGGTGTTAGGTCAGATGCAGAGGTTGATTGTAAATATCTACTAAAGGAGACTAAAGATACTGCTAGATAACTCTCGTTCTTGGTGTTAATATACCTCCACTCCATAATCTCACTACTCCAGTCAACTAACCTCAGTCTTTAGGCTCCAAGACATATAGCTGTGACTTCCTCAGAAACCTTAGTTCACACTTTTAATTCCAGTCTCCCCCCAAATAATCTGTCTGTCTTGTACATTGACAGACGTGATACAGACAGCATGGAGTAAACCATCTTCTGGGCTCACTCCCGAGACAACACACTTTTCAGAGGAAGAATACAGAATGACAGACTTGTCAAGCTCCAAACTGTTGTAGTTTCAAAGTCAAACAAATGTTTTGGGATTGAGGAGGAAACAATGAAAGTTTATGATCTTAGTGTCATTAAGAAGCAAAATATACCAGAATGGAAGATCTTGGAGGCAAGAAGACCAAAAAGCAGCTATTTGAACACAAGCTTTGAAAGCTAGAAATGATGCGGCCACTGGTTTCTAAAAAAAAGTCAGGAAAAAATAACTCCTAATCAGAAATATTTTGTAATTCATAGTTCAGAACCAAGCCTGAGCTGTTTGTTATTATGTGCTACTTATATTTTGCTAGTCTATCCCTTTTTGCTCATTGGCTGCCCAGCTCCATGATTTGAAGTTAGAGCTTGAAATATGTAAATGAATATCAGGAAACCCATACAACTAGGTAGGTCTCATACTGTCCTACTCAAGCTACCGCACAGGGCATTATAAATTCACAATCCCCGAAGCTAGGAAAAATTTATTTGTGCATCTGTTAATAAATTTGATTGGTTAGCTGAGGTCATGGTTGTTGTCTAAATTCATGCATTGGACAGTCAGCTTCACTCTGTCCCTTGACCACAGACCACATCTTCAGAAGACTCCATCCTCAGGTCCAATCATGTGAGAGTTAGAAGACCAGAAACTGAAGTCCTACCTTGGTCTGAGAGCAAAATGAAATTTCCATCACTCTTCCAACGTCTCCTGTTTCCTCCTGTTTCTAGGATAATCTTTTTCTCACTATGTCTATGACACTCCATGATCCTCTGTGTCATGCTGGCCTTCAAGGTTAGGTGTCTTTAGGCTTGCTTCCACTTAGAACAGAATAACATTACCTCAATACCTTTGTGTGTTGTGAACAACTCTGGTAGAATGGCACAGGGTGTGGTAATCCCAATACTCAAGCAGATGATGCAGGAGGATCAAGAGTTCATTCATCCTGGGATACCTAATAAAAAAATGGGACAGAAAACCACAGTGAAGTGAATCATGCCTCGTTATACATCACAAAGGTCAAAGATAAGCCAGTGAATCACTTTGCTAGGGTTTACATAGCCAAATATCCTAGACTGGGTGCCTTAAACTACCAGAATTTATTATCCCAGCTATAGGGGTTGACGTCCAAGATCAAGGTCTTTCTTCTTCTTCTTCTTCTTCTTCTTCTTCTTCTTCTTCTTCTTCTTCTTCTTCTTCTTCTTCTTCTTCTTCTTCTTCTTCTTCTTCTCCATCTTTCCTCCTTTTTTAAATTTAAGTTAGAAACAAGCTTGTGAAACCCTGTCTCGTAAAAACCAAAAAAAAAAAAAAAAAAGAAAGAAAAAGAAACAAGCTTGCTTCACATGTTAATCCCAGCTCCCTTTCACTCCCCTCCTCCCCTGTTCTCCCCCACCCAACAAATCTCCACTCCGATCCCCAGGGAGAGTGAGGTGGATCTCCAGAGTCTGTCATTTCATCTAGGGCAGGGCCTAGGCCCTCCCCCAAGAATCCAGGCTGAGAGAGCATCCTTCATTGTGGGATGGGCACCCAAAGTCCATTTGTATGCCAAGAATAAGTACTACCCAAGGCTCCATAGATTACCTAGGCCTCCGCACTGACACCTACATTCAGGGGGTCTGGATCAGCCCCATGCTGTCCACCCAGCCATCAGTCTGGGGTGCAAGAGCTCCCCCTTGTTTGGGTCAACTGTTTCTGTGGGTTAAACCAGCCCAGTCTTAACCCCTTTGCTCATCAATTCTCCCTTTCTGTCACTGGATTCCAGGAGTTCAGTTCAGTGTTTAGCTGTGGGTGTCTGCCTCTGCTTCCACCAGTCCCTGGCAGTGGGACCCACAGCAACTCTTACAAAGGAAAATAACTAATTGAGGGTGGCTTGCTTACAGTTTCACAGGTTCAGACAATTATCATCACGGTGGGGAACATGGCAGCATACAGGCAGATGTGGTGCTGGAGCTGGGAGTCTACATCTTGATCAGAAGGCAGCATGAAGTCAGCTGAGACAATGGGCAATATTCTGATCATAGGAAAGTCTGCCCACACAGTGGCACACTTCCTCCAACAAGGCCATACCCACTTTAAGAAAGCCACACCTCCTAATAGTGTCACTGCCTATGAGATTATGGAGGCCAATTACATTCAAACTGCCACATAGCCATTTCCTCTGAGTGGAAACATTCCCTCCTGGAAGAAGGAGCAAGGCTTAGAAGACTCTGAAGTAAATGAAACTACAAGCTTCACAAAGTTCATAAAACTTACAAGACTCAAAAGGCCCTCCCCAGTGTGATAAAAGTGGTAACAATTGCTGAGAGAGGAGACTGGCAGTCTGGGCTCCATGAACATTAGGCAGGGAGCTCCAAGGATGGAGTTTTCATGAGTCCTCACACATGCTGAGGTGGGCTTTTCAGTTATCCAGCTGCCTTTGAGTCAATCACTCATCTGTAAATGGCCCCTTGTCCATATTCCTGTAAGTAACTCTAATAAACCCATTGGCTCACTAAGGAAGCATGGGTGGAATGAAAAGTCTTACAACAAGACTGTGAAAAAACGAAAACAAACACACGGTAGTGTGCATAGAGAATCCCAGACACTAGATAAAGGTCAAGTATATTTATGACAGTATTGGGATGATAGAAGAGACTCCCTGCTGAATTGATTCTCCCTCTGGCTCTTGTGGATTCGGATGCACACCAGACACTCATTTGTCAATAAAGCCCTAGAAGGACCTTTTCACTTGAAGTGAGATTTGGGCTAGATGACTTCTAAAGTTCTTTCTTCATGCTGTGTCCATGATACCTTAAAAGCCAAGAAAACTAACTTGATTTATGGCATTTTATTAGACAACATTTTTGATTTATAGCATTTTATTAGACAACATTTAATCTACTTTGCTTTACAATATGCCCTCAAGAGCATCTCTGGAGGTGCTGTTTCTGATTCAGTATGCTAAAAATGCACCTCTTTGTTCATTCATTCACTCACTCATTCATTCATTCACTAGCTCATCCTGTACAATTGCAATGAGCTTATAAAATATCTGTAAAATTGCAATGAGCTTATAAAATATGCTTGGTTCTGTGGTAGGGAAAACAAAATAATCAAATATAAATGAAGACAAGCTTCACCCTCAGGGAGATTGTCATTCATCAGCAGAAACACACTGAGAAGACATGTAAACTTGTACACAGCTGTGCCTGGAAAAAACAGAAGAATGGAAGCATGTAGCAGGTAAGGTGGAGTTATAGACTCCATCTCTGCATTCAGTGACAATGTTCTAAAGATAAAAAGAACAAAACTTGCAGTTTGAAAGGTAGATCCACTATTCCATGTGGATAAGGGAATAAGGTATTGTGGGTAGAGGTAGCAGAGCGGTCAAGGAAGTAGGGATGAAAGAAAACTGAATGGTGATGGCCATTTTTGCTATACTGAGAGACTGAGATTTGAGGGTTATATTGCATGGGATGAAAGGCCACAATCAGACTTAATTTCCAGGCTTTATGCTGACTTAATCCGCAGCACTGCCCGATATACTCAACCCACCTGCCCTGGAGCTCGTCCCTGCCTCCTTAAGTCTTCCAGGAGAATGGGGGAGGGGGAGAGACAAGTGTGCTCCATCAGATGTGGGGACCTCTTTCCTGAAGCTCAAGTGCCATGTCTAGACCAGGTCACTCTCACGAGAAACCCTTGCACAAGACGGTAGTGACAAGATCACACATAAAAAAAATGCCCTTAACCTTCTTGACTTATGAACCAGCCTCCACACTAGCTACTGCCTCATCCCAGGACATGGTCAGCTTTCCTAGTGACATGTTCTGCAGGTTTACATTTTGGTAAAATAGACATTTGATAAATTATCAATCGCACCATTTTTATGACTGATCATTACAAAACCTGTTGGAAAAGCATACCCTTAGCTAAGCCTAAAATAGCTCTGTTGGGATGATTTCATGGGCTATTCCACTTTTAATTTCTAGGCTACAGGATAACTTCAACAAGGACTGTACTGGGAAATTACTGAGTCAGCTACACGCTTGTTTTACTACTTTTCAGCTTTTATAGTGAAGAGGAGAGGAGAGCCCCGTGTTATCACATAGCATTTGCCTGTGACTGTGCTTCAAGCCATCCTGCCACAAAACTGCCAACCACTAAGAAAAGATTATTTAAAGAAGTCACAGTAGATGGAAAAATACAAGAATATTACTCTTTATATCTAAGCAGCATACATTTCCATATATGATTGCTTTAGAAAGCAAAGATGATTTCAAAACTGGAAAGATACCCTTAACCTAATTTAACAGAATATGACAAGATATTTTTCTCTTCTTCAAACTGGCAGGTTATATTTATTAAATCTTATGTGAGGTTTCTCATTTGCGAACAAATGCATTAAAAAAAGTGTTTCTTCTAGAGCTGGACCTAAGCAGATTAATGAAAAATGAGGAAATGACTCATTGGAGAGCATGAACTACTCCATATTTTAGAATTTATATTATCCCCTCCCACACTCACTCAAGAATGGATTTGAGCAAAATCTCTAACAGCACACCCTGCCTCCCTCCCGTGCACATGCATGAACCAATAGAATCAAACAGAACAGAGCTGAAGACTAAGGAGCAGAGCGAACCACAAGCCACATCTTACAACCAACCACTCACTGCACTAGAAGCTTTTTTCATATTCTTTGTGCCCCACTAGTGAGAGTCTGAGTTTAATAATATTTAACATCTTTGGGGCTTTGATTAACAAGCTGAGTGCTATCAATTTCCCCTTGAACAAGGAGCATGGATTTCAGTTCAAAAAAGTCTGTAAACAACAGAAGCAGGGAGGGAAGGAGGGAAGGCCAGAGACAAAAGTTTCTCTGTCACATTTGCAAAGGAAACATTGAGGGCCTGGAGCACCAAATCCCAAGCCTACATGTCCTGCATGTGCTCCAGACAGAACATAAAACTGCTCATTAAACAGCCTTCCCAAAGAAAAGGCTGGGAGTCCTCTCAAGATGGGCAGTGCTCTGGGATAAGCTGTCAGACCAGACAGAAAGTAATTCCCCTTTTAATCATGAGAAGAAAAGGCCTGCTTTCACCTTGATCATGCATCCCACCTCAATTGAATGTGGCAGGCATGGAGAGAAATTAGACTATTGGGAAGAAAATGAAAGTAAAAATGACTGGGATAGGAAAAAAAAAACAGAGGAAAGGCTGAACAAAAATCACCAATGTGGAAGGAAATGTGTTGGAGTTGTTACAAAAAACAAAACAAAACAAAAGAAAAAACCAACAACGAAAAAAAGCAACCAAGCTCAGGCAGCTAAGTTTATAGTGAGGGTGCTGAAAAAGAAAACAGGGGCCCGAGGGGAGAAAGGAAAAGCAGGGGCAGGCATATGAGCATAGCACGTACTATTACACACGATAGACGGCTCATCAATCTTTAATGCATTTTTAAAAGAATGAGCCATTGTGCCATGGGAATCCTAAGACTGCCCACTGAAGAGACTGTATAATCCATTGCATTTTTGTGTAGGAAAATAAACAAACCACAGACCCAACCACCATTCCCTAAACATGACTGCCTGCTCACCAGGGAATAGCTCTGTTTGACATTCTAATGTGTTCCTGGAACATCACCTATAAAAAACTCACAGGGGAAATCTGTCTGCAAAGGTTGCCGTCTGTCACACATCCACTTACAAGGAAGCCTGCCTGTGATGTGCAACAGTTCATTAAGAGTTTGATATTGCTCTGTTTGTAGTACCTTTATCGTCTGTTACAGATCGTTGCCAACTGCAAACACAAATGTGAAAAGTCCTTTGGTTGACAGGGTCTCTAAATTCCCGCTGCACTTCAGGTGGATATGCCTCTCTCTCTATTGATTCTGTCCAGAAGCACAGATGCCTGCCTGCTTTATGGGGGATTACAGTTGGATTCCCCAAGGAGAAGACTGATACGCAGATGCACTTGAGGCTCAGGGTTTGGAAGATGGAAGAGATTTCAGCTGAGATTTTTATATTTTAGTGAAGTTGAAGGTTAGGAGCTCATTTCTGATGTCAGACACACTATTCAGCCTCTGCCTGTCTATGTGACAAGAGTGGAAAGTCTCCAGGGACTTGTAAGCGGGGTGGGAAGAGAACCCATACAAGCCGATAATTATAACTCATTGAGCAAGGAGCAGAAAGAGGTCTTGTTTTGCTTTTTGAAATTACAGGATGTGGTTTTAGTGTAATTTTTATAAGTCCTGATTCAGCACCATGTGAACGTGCTGTTATATGTAACCATAAGATGCAATTATAGGCAAATAGAATGTTTAGACAACTTCTTGGTGGTGATTTCTTTAGGATAATTTGCACTCTCACAGTGACTCCAAATCATGAGAAAGAAACATCATTTATGCCCTCATCCTAGTGACCCTTTGCACTTCTGGAAGCTCCATGAAAGTTGGGTAGGAGTTACCTTTAGGCATGAATTAATTCCAACCTCTCACCCATCTATAAGCTCAGTCTGGATATGACTCTACCCATGCGACTCAACCCCTGAAATCCTGCTGATGGGAATGGGACTTGAAACAACAGCTCTGGGAGGTGACTGGACAAGCATCTCTCAATGTGTTCAGATCCTTAACTCAGAAAACTTACTTCTGGGGCTGCAGACATAGCTCCATTAGCAGAGTGTTTGGCTACTATGAATGAAGCCCCGGGTTCAGTTCTAGCACTGCATAAAACAAGAATGCTTGTACAAGCTACTTTAGAGGTAGAGGCAGGAGGATGGGAAATTCATGTTCAAGACCTGCTGTGATACATATGACCTTGTCTGATTTTTTTTAAATAAAAAGAATCCCACTTCTAGAAAATATTTCAAAAGCAGTTATTACAGGCAGATTAAAACAAAAGTATATTCCTGTGCCTATTTATTGTAACATTGTTTTTCAGGGACTAGAGATGAGAATCAACTTAAATATCAAACCATGAAGGTTAGCTCATCTCCTATAAATTTGGTTACAACTGTATGGTACATTTTGTGTGATATGGTAATGTAACGCAAAGTGGATAGGATCATCTCAAGATACTAAATGAAAGAAAATGTAACTGTGATACAGTAGAGAATGAAACCACCCAGGGTAGGGCATACCTATGATCCCTGCACTCAGAAGGCTGAGAAAGGACTCAGGAGTTTGAGGCTAGCCCCTCTGAAAACGGATAAATGAATTGAAATAAAAAGAGAGAATACTGTCTCATTTTATTTCCTTTACGGGGAAGGTGTGTGTGTGTGTGTGTGTGTGTGTGTGTGTGTGTGTGTGTGTGTGTGTGTACTCGAG